CCTGGAACCGGGCACAGTAGTGCACACCTCTAATCCCAGCACTCAGGAGGCTAAGCCAGGAGGATCTCTAAGAGTTCAAGACCAGACTGGGGGCTTCCTAAGAGAGTTCAAGACCGGTCCAAAATGCAAAGCAAGATATTGAATCAAAAAAAAAAAAAAAAAAAAAAGAAAAAAAAAAAGGAAAAAGAAATGAGGAAGGGTGTTTTGAGGGCAATTACTGCAATGTGTCTTTTACTGCAAAATAAAATTTTTCAATTTAAATAATCACTCTATACTTCTATCATCCCTCTCATACAAAGATCTGATTTAACCTGCAAATTTACTGGACCAAATTTGTCCATTTTTCTCTACGCTGTCCTTTATTTTTTTCTCATTTATGTATTTGGTACAGGGTCTCACTATGCAGGTCCAACTCTTAGTGATCCTGCTGTTTTCAGCCTCCCTAGAGCTAAGATTACAGGTGTGTGTCACCACGTGAGACTCCGCAGGCCCCGGGGTCAGGCCGGTGCAGCATGCAGGACTGAAGCTCAAACCTGCTCCCTGTGTTTGCCAAATCAAGCACTCAGGCCACTGAGCTATCTCACCAGCCCTGTATAGTGTACTTTTTAAAAGTTTATGTTAAAAATGATAGTCGTAAGTATGAAGCACATTGAATATAAAAAATTGTATGGTTCATAATGATATTTTAAAAAGAGAAATATAAAATCAAACAAATGAAAAACATTTCACTGGTCACCACTGGAAGACAAAAGAGTAGCATCCATTTACTTAGAAAATCATCAAAGGGGAAGAATTAAGCCTTTTTCTTGCCTTTCCTCTCTAGATTACATTTCTGTCACTAGATAGACGTACTTAGGGACAGAAAGGTCATATCTACAGATGAATTCTTACTAATGAATGCCAGAGAAATAATAGAATCAGAAAAAAAAAAAACAAAAAAAACATTTGAAGCCCTCATTAAATACAACAATTAGGGGGCCAGGGAGATTGCTCAGTAGAATAAGCACTTGCCTAGCTAGCACAAGGTCCTGAGTTCAATCCCCAGTACCAGTACAAATACAACAATTAATTCAAGCCACAATCATCAGTGAATGAATTTACTAGGTGAATATTTGGTTCTGAAGTTTACAGTGAGGCCAACAGCACCTGTGCGCACCCGTCTACCTCAGCGTCTCTCAGAGTGACGGCGCAGACCCAGGTGCTGCCTTGAACGACACTCTAGGAAGGACCCAGGGCCTGGGCATCTGCTTTGCTCTCCAGCTTCTACAAGACACACACACACTGCATGTCCTCAGACACATCGCAAGGGACAAAAATTTCAGATATTTCAGCAGGTTGCGGATGTAACTTGGTGATGGAGCACTTGCCTAGCATGCAGGAGGCTCTGGGTTCAATCCCCGGTACTGCAAATAAAATAAAATATGATGGCACAAAATGAGTGAACTAAATGGAGAGCTGGGCACAGTAGCAGGCACTGGTAGTCCCGGCAACTCAGGAAGGTGAGGCTGAACAATACCTTGAGGCCACAGTTCAAAGCCAGCCTGAGGGGACCCTGCCTGAGAAGGAAGTGGGGAGAGAAGGGAAAAGAAGAAAGGAGGGAGAAAGAGAAGGGCAGCTGGGGGGCAGGAGGAGGGAGAGGAGCACAGGAAGGGTGGCAGCATCAAAGTCCTCATAATTATCCAGTGAATACTTGCCATAAAAAAATAGTTCAACCTAAGTGGGGCACAGTGGTGCACATCTGTAGTTCCAGCACTTGGGAGTCTGAGGCGGGAGGATCACTGTGAGTTCGAGGCCAGTGTGGGCTACATAGTGAGTTCAAGGCCAGCCTGAGCTGCATGGCAGAAACCCTGCCTCAAAAATGGCAAAGAAAAAAAAAAACCTTCTAAAAACTCAAATTAGTTCTAACCATTAGATCAAAAAACAAAATAAAGGGCCAGGGAGATAGCTCAGTAGAATAAGCACCTGCCTGGTAAGTGCAGGGTCCTGAGTTCAATCCCTGGTACTGCAATAAATAAATAAATAATAAAGACAAAATACCATATAGGCATTTTACAATACCACAACAGGCATCTATATTTTATTTTTCTGTATTTGTACCTCTTCCTTAACTGGAATAATTTGTGCAGATTCACACAAATGCGCAATACAATAAGATAAAGGTTGTTTAAGTTATAGGGCAGGAAAAAGAAGACTGGAGGGCTGGAAGCAGAGCTCCAGTGGCACAGCCCTGGTCAGCAGCCCTGGGCTCCCATCCCCAGCCGCCACCACCACCACCACTACTAAAAAAGTCAGTTTTTCTAATTAGAAAAGGGAGTCAGTCACACCAGGAAGAGGGTCAGCAGCTAGCCTGTCAGTCAATGAGTGCTGACATTTTCTGTGATGGCCCTTTGCCCTCAGACCAAAGCACAGGCACACAGTAAACAATACACACAAACACAATATTGTTTGTGTGGTGCTAGGGATCAAGCCCAGCTGGGGAGATGGCTCAGCAGAATAGGTGCTTCCCTGGCAAGCACACGACCTGAGTTCAATTCCCAATTCCACTAAAAAACAAAACAAAACCAGCTGGTGTTCTATCCCTGAGCTACATCCACAGCCCATGCTCTAGGCTTACTCGAAGCCAAATATAGAGATTAAAAACAATTACGAGTCATTCATAGTGTCCAGAAATTGGAAAAAGAAATCATTTTGGTAAAGCACAACTAGGTTTTTGTTTGTTTGGTTTTTGGCAGAACTGGGGATTGAACTCAGGCCCTTGTGCTTACCAGGGAAGCACTTGTTCCACTGAGCCATCTCCCCAGCCCAAGCACACCTAGTTCTGTTAATTAAAACAAATCAAATATCCCGGGGATCCTCTCAGCAAGAACGCTGCATGCACACCCGCTACACCCGAGTTCCCCAGGGCTGATCTTTGTGCGCTCCCTGCCACTCACTACCTGAAGTAGAAGACAGAAAATATATCCTGACTGTGGGTTCTTGCTCCTTTGGACGTTGCAGATCCCTCCAGGAATCTGAGAGTAGACCGGAACCCTTCCCATCAGCCAAGTGCAGTGTGTACTACACAGGACCACAAGACACACCGCCCCAAAAGGTGACTGTAGGGGGCCAGAAGGTGCCACCCTAAAATAGCCTTCTTTGGCATAGTTCAAGCTGGTTATTCTAAGAAACTGCGGGCATAGTAGTAACCCTGAAAAGTTTCCTTTAGTAAGAGAAATATACATCTATAAAGGAAACCTACCTTAGTAACGTCTATGGGAAAAGATCACTTTTATTACCTGTGAGCCAGTGTCTGCATACGAAGATAATCTTTGCTTACCACTCAACTCCTCCCATGCCTGCCACATCCTGGGCCTCTACCTTAACTCCCCAGTCGTGTGTGTGTGTGTGTGTGTGTGTGTGTGTGTGTGTGTGCATGTGTGTTTTACACGGAATTGAACCCAAGACCTATTTGCCTAGCCCTTTTTGAGACAGAATCTCACTAAGTTGCTCAGGCTGACCTTGCACATGCAATTCACCTGCCTCAGCCTCCCAAGAAGCTGGTATTATGGGTATTATGGGGGTGCACCACCTCACCTGGTGCCCTCCCTGAAGCTCAGGACACCACATAAGCAAAATTATCTGACCCTGTTTTCATTGGACTCTTTTTATCTTGTTCATCTGCCTTATTTCTTTTTTTTTCCTTTTTCTTATTTCTTTTTAATTGACATCCCAGCCAGAGAACCTAGAAGGGTGGAGGGAAGCCATTTCCATTTTCCCTCCCCCAGGACAAAGCCTGCCTTCCGATGAAGTGCTCTGCCAAAGTGGCTGTCCAAAGGCTTTCTCCTCATCCCCCCCCAATCAGGCTTTCCAGAACCCTCTCTCTCTCTCTCTCTCTCTCTCTCTCTCTCTCTCTCTCTCTCTCTCACACACACACACACACTCTCTCTCACACACACACACACACAATCTACCATGGCCCTTATAGCGCTTACCATTATCTGAATTGACCTCACCTGTCTCCTCTACCAGGCAAGAACTCACACAGGGCGAAGACTTTGCCTCACTTACCGCATTCTCCCAGCACCTGGCATTGGTGGTCTACACTTGACAGGTCTGGGTGAGTGACCCTTGCAACCTACCTCAGATACTAAGGGTTCCAGGTCAGTAAGAAAGCAGCCCTGTCCCAGGCAGATCCAGCCCCTACATAAAGGATGGCCAACAGGAGTTTGGACTTGACCTCCTCAGCCCATCTCATGCTGAGCCCTGTGTTCTTCTCTCAACTAGCTTTGGAAAAACAGGGGGTCAAAAAATGGGCCGAAAGAGGACTAAAGAGTGGGTAGTACCAGGTGTGGGTGGAGGACCTTCTCCACCCTTTTATTACTGTTTGCACAATTAACAGAATAGACAGAGGTGACCTGAAACCCCAGAGAAGATTCCAGTGTTTCCCGAAGCATCCAAGGACCTTCCCAGCCCGCCCTGCCCCCACCTGCCCACTTCCTGACTCAGCCTTTGCCCAAGCAGTTTCCTGCATCCAGCACAACTTCTTCGCCAGCCCATCTTCTGTGGCCGCGCTCAGCAGGACATGGTCCAGACCTTGGGTAGTCGCTCACTGGCCCCAAGCCCACGCTTGGCATCTTATGGTGTCTTTGTCTGGCTGTGACTAAAACGCCTACAAATGTCT